TATTATATTGAAATTTTTCTATTTTATATTTATTTACCATTTGTTTTATGTAACCATTTATTTCCCAAATGTTGTATTTGTTTTATATTTGAATAAATATTAAAAGAATTCCTTGCTTGCTTTAATAAACAATACATTTTAACATTTCCCTATAGGTTATGAAATAATATTAACAGCTGTTTCTGTAGCCGCTGTATTGATGCTTCAGAAATTGTTTACAAACGCACAATAGGCAAAAATTTGTATACATTCAAAATATTTTTATAAGAAAAATAATTGGGTAACGACAATGTCTAAAACTTCTCGACGAGACCAAAGTAGACAAGGTAATATTAATATTATAAAAAATGTGATTTCCAGCTTTATAAATTTTTTTTTCTCTTTTAAACTAGAAACTGTACCAAACAAACGCAAGCGTATAATAGAAATTTTAACAGATGTACAAAAGATGCAAATGAGTGAAGATGAGGAATTGATGACCGACACACCGTTGGAAGCTATTAACGTCCAACAGTTGCTACGCGAAGGCTTTACACACCTAGCAAGTACAATAAAAAGTACTTTAATTCAAATGAATAATGAAAGGGAAAAGAACTTGGAGAGACGGCATAAAGAGTTAATGAATTTATTGGCAAGTAATCTGTCCACCGATAATGGTGATGAAATTCTTGACGACAAGGTAACAGATTCTGAAAGCGAGGACACTAATCAGACTTCTGTAGCCGAGGAAAATAACGTAAAGTTTGTACCTGTAAAAAAAGAAATTGGAAAAAATGCTTGGACAGAATCAACTCCTAATTCTTTATTTAAAACTAACATTGATGAAGTTCCAGCTAAGAATTCAGTTCTACGTAATAAATCCCACAAAACTGAATATGAAATAATGAAGGAGAAAATGCTACAAATGCAAAGAAAGAAAATGGAAGATCGTGAACGTAAAAAACATTGCTATAATTAAGATAATGTAATAATAGATTCATAAATTTTTAAATCAAACAAAATAAAATGTACAATATTCTAGTTATAGTATGTATGTATGTGTGGTGTATTTATTTGTTAACCGCTGTAAAAAAACAGCGGCTCAATAGTAAGTTATCAGCTGAAAAATAATTTGCGGGTAAATAATATTCAGAAATTTAAATTATTACCTTATGGGCAGTAATGACGACGAATTGCAAAAATATAGAAAATAAAGTAATTACTACAAAGCGAAGACGAAGCTCAACAAGTGAAAGTTATGATCGACATAGCCAGGAATTATTTTGGCCTGATTCCGATGATAATGATAGTTTTTTCTCAAATTCCAAGATAGAGAATCTAATTGATAATAAAGTTGGGACTTTTAATGAACGTAAAAGTAACATAAATGATTTTGAACATAATTGCATAGATGATAGCCTTTTTGGCGATATAAATATACCTGAATCAGAAAATGGTAATTTAGGTGGTACGCCTTTAGTGCAAGATTTTCCTGACAGAATCAACAACAGCGACGTAATATTTTCAGATATCGACATAAATGATTATATACAAGATTCTGAAAAGGATTTATTTAGTGATTCGCTGCCTGACGACTTTGCAATACAAAATACACAGAAGTTCTTGGAAGATGTTGCTTTTAAAGTACCAAATATACCAAATCAAAAGAATAAACATATTCCCAACGATGATTCCATGATATCGGTTTCAATGCTAGAAGATATTCAAGGTTCTCAATATGAGACAAGTGAAGAAATACGCAATCGTACGATTCAATCAAATCAATGTGCAAATAGTTCCCACAAAGAAATTGCCGATTTGTCGCATTTAAATTGGGAAACACAAATATTTGTTGAAGAAAAAAATGATATACCATCAAAAGGCAATTTTTATGGTTTACCAGATAGTGTAAAGAAAATGATACTCGAGCATAAATCCATCACGGGTTTATATGGTGAGTAGTAGCATATATTATACTTCAATCATTTAATAAATTTCTTTATTTAGAATGGCAGGATGAATGTTTAAATCTACCAGCAATAAGGCAAAGAAAAAATTTAATATATGCTTTACCGACCAGTGGCGGAAAAACATTAGTTGCGGAAATTTTAATGTTGAGAGAAATAATATGCCGGGAAAAGAATGTTCTCTTTATACTTCCATATGTATCAATTGTTCAAGAGAAAGTAAGTTGCACGAATAACATGTATAATAATTATTTATAATAATTTAATATTGTATTAGAATATTTATAAATAAAAACTATGATTTTGGTTATTTAGGTAAGCGCAATGTCACCATTTGCTATATCACTGAACTTCATTGTTGATGAGTACACGTCTGGTAAAGGAAAGTGTCCACCATCGAAGCGCATTAAAAGGAAAAGTATATATATAGCTTCTATTGAAAAAGGTGCAATTTTACTTGATAGTTTAATTGATGCTGGACGTGCAAATGAAATTGGCTTAGTTGTTGTAGACGAATTACATTTAATTGGAGAAAAGGGTCGGGGATCGGTACTCGAAACAATGCTAACAAAAGTTATGTTTATAAATGGTAATTATTAATAATGATTGTCATAGATTTGACATCCTGGAGCCAATCGTTTTTTTAGATGGTCAAGTGTTGCTTACTTCTTACCAACTGAATTACAATATTATATGTTAACGTTGATTTGACTTAAAATTTGTTATATTTGTTACAGCTAAAATACAGGTTGTTGGAATGAGTGCGACTATAGGAAATCTAACTGAAATTTCTACATTTTTAAATGCTGACGTATATTCAAGAGGATTTCGTCCTGTAGAGCTAAAAGAATACATAAAATGTGGTCGAGATATATTACAAATTAATGCTGCTGGGAAAACGTTGGAAGAAGTTTTTACCTTTAAAAGAAGTGTTAATTTCAAGGTTCGAACTCAAAACAAGATAACATTTACAATTTTACAATATAAGATTTTAATTATTTTACAGTATACTGAGTCAGTTGCTCGTTGTGATCCAGATCATTTAGCTGGGCTAGTTACGGAATGTGCTCCTAAGCATTGTTGTTTAATATTTTGTCCTACACGAAAAAACTGTGAAAACGTAGCTTTACTCTTAACACAAATTTTACCGAAGTCAGTATCTTTTATACTCTTGCACACCGATATACTTTAATAAATTTTATTAATTTAAATAGATCCAGATTTTTGGAGCACCAAAAAAGTGAAAAGAATGATCTGATGGATGCGCTTGAAAAAATATGTGGCATATTAAGTCCAGTTTTAGCAAAAACAATACCGTTTGGTGTTGCATATCATCATTCAGGTCTGACTACAGATGAACGCAAATTCATTGAAACTGCATATAGACTCAATGTAATCAGTGTTATTTGCTGCACGTCCACTTTGGCAGCAGGTGTTAATCTACCAGCTAAACGTGTAATAATTCGCGCCCCCTATATTGGTGCTGAATTTATGACTCTATGTAAATATAAGCAAATGGTTGGACGAGCGGGTCGTGCGGGTATGGGTGAAGCTGGTGAGAGTATACTCATAAGTGCGTGCCAAGATAATGTTCGTGTTGGAGAAATGTTATTTTCGCCAATGGATAAAGCTGTTAGTTCCTTAGACAATATAGATGGTTTAGGTATTCAGGTAAATAGCTTATATGTAGATTTTGTTTATTTTAGTAATTTTGAATATTTTTTAGAGTCTTATAGTAAGTTCAATAGGTTTGAACTTAGCACATTGTCGTCGTGATTTATATCAACTTTTAAATAGTACATTACTTGCTGTACAAGCTGAACAACTTGGTCTAAAAACAGAGACTCTTGTAATGAATTCGATACGAGAGATGTTCAAAAACAGAATACTAGAAATTTGCTCTAGGGAAAAAAGTGAGCAAGCATCAATAATTATTAGTCAAGATATAAGAAATGATATGAAAAGTATAACAACACAAGAACGTCGTCTATTTATTGGCAAATCAACAAAATTTCAGTTGACAACTATTGGTAAAGCTTCATTTAAAGCTGGTATTGATTACAAACGAACATATAACATTTATTATGAATTAAAAAATGCACAGAAACATTTAATTTTAACAAACTATGCACACCTTCTTTACTTAGTTGTTTGCTTTAATTCAAATGCAACTGGCGATGAATTATTTGCAGCTAATGCAGCTATACTATTTCGAGAGTACACATCTCTAGATGACACAACACAAAAACTATTCCAACTTGTAGGTTTAACAGAAGCAATCGCAGCTAAAATAAGAAAAACTCTTTCAATACAAGGAAAAATGGAGTTAAAATTAAATAGATTGTTTAAGGTACTAATACTGATTGATATATTGAATTTATTGCCAATACCTGCAATTGCTACGAAATTTGATATTGAACGCGGCTCGCTACAAAATTTAGTCAGCCAATCTACAGCAGCTGCCAATGCAATAGTACGTTTATGTGAACAGGTGGAAGAATTTTGGTGCTACAAACCTTTATTTGAGAGAATTGGTGCAAAAATGGATCGTTGTGGTACAATTGAATTGGAACCACTAATGGAACTGCCTGCTGTTAAGATTGTAATTTTATTTTGTTTATTGTTGTAGTTATTAACTTTTCTTAAGTTTTTTAATTTTTAATAGATTAATGTTATTATACTTAATATAATATATTATGATAATATAATATATTATTATAATATTTTATTATATTATTATAATAATTTATTATACTATAATATTATATTCTACTATTATAATATATTATTATACTATTATAATATACGTTTATATTATTATATAATTATTATACTGTTATAATTTTTTATTATTATACTATTATAATATATTATTTTTATTATAATATATATATATATATTATTATACTATTATAATATATTATTCTACTATTATAATGTATTATGATATTATAATATATAATTATACTATTATAATATATAATACGTTTATAACTTATAATAATGTTATAATATATTTATAAATTATTTATTTATTCATTTATTAATTATTTATATATATTACAATAAATAGTTTTAAATAATTATATTCTTTATAATTTTTTTTTATATTAGTTATTATTGTATATAATTTTTAATTGGACTTTTATGTTAATGATAATTATTGATAACTTATTTTTCAATTTTATACGTTGAAACTTTTAAATTGTACTGTAATAATTTAGTTTTTTATTAGTTTTTTATTAGTTTTTTATTAGTTTTTTATTAGTTTTTTATTATTTTTTTTATTATTTTTTTATTTAGAATCGTGCAAAGCAATTTTATGCTGCTGGTTTTAAAACTATCGAGGATATTGCGAAATGTCGTCCAATGCAGTTGGTGAAATCTATTGAACATATGCCTTTGAAGGTTGCTAAAGAGATTATATCAGCTGCCAAGGTAAGATACATATAAATATAAATTCAGTTTTATATAATAAATAATTTAAATTTATATAATAAATAATAAATCATTTTTCTACAGATAATTTTAATGAAAAAATTGGACGTACTAGAAGATGAGACTGAGGCAATCAAATTATGTTTACATCAAACTGAGGAACCAGAATAAAATAGATTAAGAAATGTAATTAATTTGTTTGTTTGAAATTATTTTATTTTTTTGTTTTTTGTTATTTTAAACTTAAGTTTTAAGTTTTCATTAACACGTGCATATATTGTGAATACACACGTTTAATTTATAATTTCAAATTGTATAATTTTAATTTATATAATTTATAGGCAATAATTTGTTTTCAGTTTAGTGATATTTAAATAAAAATTTCATAATTAAAAATTTGCAATAAAATAATAATAGAAAAATCAATGGTTTTTAATTATTAAATTTAAAATTAAAATAGTATCGTTAAAAGAAAACTAAAAAAAAAAATTAAATCAAAAAATAACAAACACTAAGTTTAATTTAAAGACAAATATTTATATTTGCCTCTTACTATCACGATATTTGAGTATTTTCTAAAAATTATTTATTTCTAAGAATATTGTTGAAATCCTTGATACCAATCTTAATAATCTGCAGTTATTTTCGC